GGCCCCCCCGGGCCCCGGCCCGGCTCCCCGAGCCCCCGTGCCCGCACGCCGCTGAGGCCCCTCGGCGTGTTGCTCCACTGAAGCTGGAACGGAGCAAGCGAGATTTGTTCTTAAACAAAGTCGCGTTACGAAGCACACCGCGCTCGGTAATTTTCTCTGTCATTTACTCTGAATCTGCTCATCAATGCAGCCCTGTCAGCCTTTGATGTGATGGAAAATGCTGAAATATGATTTTCTAAAAATCATAAAAATATGCACATAATGATAGCTACTGCCGCCGCTTTCTCCCTCCCATCCCCATTTAGATCATCAATTTAACGATTTCCAGTTCCCTGACAGTGGACCACCCTGTGCCAACAATTTCTAAGCAAAGCGCTCTCTGCTGATTTCCACGGGGGGCTGCTTAAAGATCAATAGCCAGCAATGGCCTACCGTACATATATTTGTCTCGCAGAGTGAAAGAAACTGTATAAAAGCTCCAGCTATGCCAGTTACATTTCCATACATTTTTGCTGTTAATGTGAAACCAAAGTAAAGCCAGACATTAGCTTTAGCCTTACAGCATCCCTGGCTATCCACATCAAAAAAGCGCTCACGTGAATGCCAGGGTAGCGCCTGGACCCCTACCCAACCACTGCGGCCGTCGGGACGCTCACTGCCCTGCGTGTGCTTGGGTGGCTCGACCCCGACGGGAGCCGGGGGATGATGGGTGAACTTCTGGCGGGTCTAAATTGGTGTCTTTATCCACACCTCATGTGCACATACACAGCACAGTGGGACATTTCTGTGCAGCAATGCACGATGGAAAGAAAAAGGAAGGTGACTTTGGAAGGGTGGCACCTTCACAACCCTTAGGCAAAGATACATGAGGGAGATGGAGCACCAGTGCCCCTTGTCCCTGCTGTTACACCTCTGGCCTATGACACATACATTTCAGCATGACTGTTAACGGAAGGTTTCTAAAATAGTTTCCTTGCCTGTGTCTGGTCAGCCACACGCGTCCAGGCCTCACGGGTTCCCCAAGCCAAGGGGAGAAGCCAAGGAAATGGAGCAGGCCACTCAAAAGCAGTCACGCTGCAGACTGAGGTGGGCAGAGGCAGCAGCAGTCCCCAGTGCTGCTGCTCCCATTTCCAGTGGAAAGAAGGGCCATCCCTACCGCGAGGATAGTGATCCTTCGCAAGCACGAGGCTAGAGGGAAATACCTTGTCTGACCGCCACGTCGCATCATGGGCACATCCGTGCCGGCTGCAGCTCTTGGTAGCACCACACGGGAATAGACAAACACGGCAATACTGAGAAATCTGTTGTGCACTAATTAGGATAAGCAGTGACCTGGTAATTGGTAATGCCACACGGCTATGGCTGGCAGGGCTTTGGAGCCGGGATGCCAGAGGAGGGCTGGGTGCACCTGCAGCGGGCCCCTGCGGCCACATTAAATAGATACCTGTTGCTTTCACACTGCAGCATAACAACGGAGGTGGTGGGCAGTCTTTGGAGATGTAAGCTGGACAAATTTCAGGTAAGGCTTGTAGTGCCGAGAGGGGAGCGTGCGGTGAGGGCAGAGCCTGAGCAGGGCCCGGGCCTGGGGGTGGGAGAAGGCTGGGAGCAGGACTGTGCCGGGAATGCTCTCCGGTGAACCTGTGGATCCCGGACAGATGGACACTGCACTCGTAATCCTCTCCCCCTGGCTTTCCCCCAGCAGGGGTCAGGCTGGACCAACGATCACAAATCAAAAGTAAAAGTAACTACTCTGCTCCAGCATCAAATATTTTCAGTGCTCCAGAAAGGAGAAAAATATTTTGCCCTACTGAGGATATGGAAAAGGCTCGAACATCTCATTTAAGAAAAGCAAAAGAAATATTGAAATGGCAACAGAGGTGACTGTAAGCAGCAGCCTGCAACACCCTCCTTGTCCTTACAGCTGTTTAAAAAGGCAATGACCAGGTCCTGTTTCCACTCAGTCTCATTACAGTCTCGGCCTCCGTTCCCAGTTGTTCTTCAGTGTAAATGGAAACAGAAATTCAGCCAGGATGTGGAAACCACAGCGTCGGAGCAGCAAAGTGACATGAGCGTGCCCTCAGAAGCGACTGGAAGCCCTCGGGGAAGGCAGGGCTCGCAGCACCCGCCACCGGCTGGAAAGGGGAAGCTGTTACCCACAGAAACCATTCCTGCGCGGTCGGACCACATCAGTAACGCAGAGCGATATCAGTCCTAGGTTGATGTCTCCAGTACAGCCCCCAGCTGGAGCTGGCAGCGTTTCGTGGCCCTTGGCACTGGGAAAAGCAAACCGGGGGGTCCGCAGCGGGGTCATCGTCGAAGCGATGCCTCTGCCTTCGGCTGTCACCAGAGGTCTGCAGGCAGACACTCTGGGACCAGAATGCTAAAAAGCAGGTGAGATGTATCCAAAGGCCTGGCTCCCGAAAAATTTTCGGGCCAGCTTTGCCTTGGTTTATCGCCTAGCGAGAGAGAACACAGAGGATGGCATTTCATGCGTGGAATTTTAATGATAACTTTATTATATTTTAGTGTATTATTGGCTTGCGATTTTGTAGTCTTACAAGAAATTTCCGTTTCCACATCTCCATTAAATGTCTGATTCATTTTCTTGGCTCGTGGTAATGCCTGAAAGCTACATCACTAAAGAATCAGTGCTCTGCATTAGATAAATATAAGACCGAGTCTGATTAACCTATTAACTATTTTTAATTAGCTTTTACTGTTCTTCAGATATTCCGTGTTTTTGAGGAAGCAGAAAGAGAACGAGAGCACACTGGCACTATAGAGCTGTATAGAGCTAGCATATGGACCGAGATTATTCATCATCATTGGCAGGAGCTCTGCTGTAGGGAATCTTGCAACAACATCACAATTTCCCTGCTAGAGTGAATGCCATAATGGACACATTTGCGGCGTGAATTATGGGCAAGAGAGAAAAATTTTAAATCTTTATAGCGTTTTTATGCTCTGTCTTCCTTTTTGGTAATCAGATCTTGATTAAGAGTTGGAATTAGCACCCAGAAGAACATTAGGCTTTCCTGGCTCAGTTCCCTTCCACCATGTAGGGCAGGCAACAAATGATTCGGTGGCTTTATAGGGCTGCTACAACAAAAAGGTGTCTAAATACCTATCCATCACTCGAAGAAAGTAGCCGACTGCTTGCTTGCAATGAAGAACATACGGTAATGGCAAAGCATTTTATTTGCTAAATAAAGCGATTACTTGATTTAGTTCCGACAGACCCCTCTCCCGGTCACGATGACTTCCCGGGGCAAAAGCTGGGCAAGGTGGGGTCCCCGGCATCTCTCCCCGCTGCTGGAGGCTGAAAGAGCCCTGGGCAGGGCAGAGCCAACCCTCCCTCGGCGGCACCAGCCCGGGCACCGCTTGGCACCGCAGGGGCACGGTGCAGCAAGCTGCAGCTCGGCCCCCCTCTCATCAGCTTGAAGAGTGTCTGACCCTGCTATGTCAAAGCACTTTGGGCCTTTTAATTTTAGGTGTTCTCATGTTTCGGGATTTTTTTTTCCTTTCAGGTATGCTGGGACCACTCCAGCCACCGTGAATTTCGGAGGCGCAGCTGCTCCAGCACTCGTACTTCCCACGCCTCGAACGAGCAAACAAATACCCACAGCTTTTTCTGACAACGCTCCTTCTCTATACCTCTGAATTCGTACCGCTCCTTCGCCTCCGCTCCGTGCCACCGGGGGTCTCCAGCGCAACTCCAGCCCCGCCGCCTCCTCCGGCCCTTGCCCCCTCCCTGCCCGGGCCCCTCCGCAGCCCCTGCCGCCCCCCGGGGCTCCGCCGGCTCCCTCCCCGCCACCCGGCCGCGTCCCCCGGGCAGCGCCTCTTCTCTGGCGGCTTTCCCTCCTCGGGGGGACGGCTCTAACTTGGCAGTTGCT